GGGGGAGCGTGCTGGGCCTGCCGCCGCCCCGCGGGGCGCCAGTGTCTGTTTTTCATAGTTGCTTCCTCGATAGTAGACTTCAGTCAAATTCCAAATGCATTTTCGGGTCTATTTCCTCGACGATAATTGTGTTTGTGAGTGTGTAGAAATGAACAGAACGTGGGCCCTGTCTTTCTGGGTGTAAAGTCTAGGAGAGGCAGTGCCTGTGACAGAATGGGTGGAAGGCGTACACGGATTTGCAGACTGCTTGCCCTTCTTCATTTATATCAAATCCAAGTCTCGGCTTCCTCCTCTGCAGGATGGGCTTTTCACAGAACTTTCTTGTTATCTAGGGAATGCATATCGTCTTATCCCTGATTGCTTTGCTAGCAGGGACATCTGAGACTGGCTGAGTCAGAAAGAAGTTGAGATTAATCTGACCCAAGGTCTGGTGGCTGTGAAGTCCAAGGCATAGGGCGCACGCCAGGCCACCTGCACCATGCCAATGACTGACAGAGGCAGAGGGTGGCAGACCCGAGTGTGGCCTGTGTTCCAGGCCACCTGCATCATGTTATGGCCAACAGAGGCAGGGGGGGACAGACCCGAGTGTGGCCTCTGTTCCAGGTTGGTTTCCCGCTCACTCCCTCTCCTCGCTAATCCACTGGCACTCAGTTGTGGGGCCTACCGTAACCACCTGGTCACTAATCTCCTCCCAAAGGCCTCACCCTTCACCATCTTGGATCAGGTTTTCCCTCTGAGCCGTGTTACAGTGGAACACCACATTAATGCCGCATGCATATTCAAACTGTAGCAAGTATGTAAATACCTAACACTAATTCAGTGCCTAGCATTTTATAGACATTTCATGAAATACAGAATATAGTGCTGCTATAGTGCTCATGACATGGCAAACATTGTTTGGACCCTAAATGAATATTACTCTTTTTAAAAAAGTGCTCATATAAGTACTGATGGGAAATCTAACCAGAATGGTTGGTAGTGAAGAATGAGGGGTGGGAACCAGCAGTTAGTGTAATGGCTATGTCGCTGGACTCCCACGTAGTCGACCGCGCTAGCACTGGCTCCGCGGGTTCACATCTAAAGGCTCAGCCCTGAGTTTCTTGGAGCTCTTCCTTTCACTTGTTTTAGCTTCTTTGTCTCCTATATATGGTTATATTATACTTTTACAGCCTTTTGATGGAATAAAATACTGTTACAGAATTAGGCAGGTAGGCGCCAGGCTACCAGCTGTTAGATACACAGGCTACATGAAGTTACAGAGTTGCTAAGTTGCTATCAGAGCTACAAGGTCACTGAGAGTTGCTAAGTTGCTATGGGAACAGGGAGGGCTATAAGGTCACCACAGGTTGCACATGGGTACTTAAATTCTAAACATACCTGGTTATATTTCTTTATCCTGGAAGGCCCCCTTGCCCACGGTTTTACAGCCACATGTCCTCTGGTTGTCCTCGGCTGTTGCTCTGTTGAGTTCAAGAGCACCAGGGCTGCTCAGCCCCAAGTGGGCCACGTCCTCCCACTGAGTGCTCCGCGTCACGGGGGATGCAGTTTCACTCTGTCTTGCTGTGTGTTTCTCTTTTGCACATTTCCCTTTTCCTTCCTATCTGTGCTTTTTTTACTCTGCCTTGCTCACAAATTCAGCCTTTCTTTTAATAAACTATTCAAGAATTAAAATCTGTTTGACTTAATAAATGCTATTATCCTTTTGCAAGTAATACTGTTTTTTTTTTTTTAATTAAGAATTTAAAATGCAGCAGCATCTATAGTGCCTGTTTTATGTTCTTTCCGTTCTTGCACTTACTGATCTCTGCCTCTCTTCTTTCCCTCCACATTATGTAAAACACACATCTGATCCTTCTTAAAATGCACCACAGCTCTCAAGGATAGGAAACAAATCTGTGTACTAGTTAAGAAGAGGGCTTTTCTCTTTTTTCAAAATCCTGATTTGCATCCCAGCTGTGTACTGTGGACAATTAACCACTGTCTAAGCTGCAGTGTTTGCATCTGAAACAGGAGGCTAGCTAAGGTGCCTCCTAGCAAGGGCAGGTAAAGGCAGTGACAGGAAGCACCCTCCAGAAACCTCCTACTCCCTCTCTGCACCCTTCTGCACCCTCCTGCACCCTCCCGCACTCTCCCACACCCTCTTGCTCTTCCACACAGGGACTCCTGCCTGGTGCAGAGCAGGAGCTAACCCCAGAGACCCTGAAACAGGTTACAAACTGGAGTCCTCTTTCTCTCTTTCTCCTTTCTTTCTTTCTTTCTTTCTTTCTTTCTTTCTTTCTTTCTTTCTTTCTTTCTTTCTTTCTTTCTTTCTTAGGAAGCACCCTCCAGAAACCTCCTACTCCCTCTCTGCACCCTTCTGCACCCTCCTGCACCCTCCCGCACTCTCCCACACCCTCTTGCTCTTCCACACAGGGACTCCTGCCTGGTGCAGAGCAGGAGCTAACCCCAGGGACCCTGAAACAGGTTACAAACTGGAGTCCTCTTTCTCTCTCTCTCTCTCTTTCTTCTCTTTCTTTCTTTCTTCCTTTCTTTTTCTTTTTCTTTTTTTTTGCTTCCCTGACCACATACTCCCTCCATCCCTGGGCAGAAGTCATTATTTTCTTTGATTTATTTATTGAGAACATCAGTGACCCTGACCACATACCCCTTCCATCCCTGGGCAGAAGTCATTATCTTCTTTGATTTATTTATTGAGAACATCAGTGATTTTATTTTCTGTATACGTTCCAACATTTTCTAAATGTTTCATCCAACTAGGAATCAACTCATACAAAGTACTTTTTAAAATAAAAGAATCATTTTTTTCTTGTGAGTTTAGGTGATTTTGTTCTCTTCTGCATTTCAGCATTTACTTTTTTTTTTTCTAAAATAACATGTGCTACTTTTGTAATGGGAAAAAAATCTATTTTTTAAAAAATTATTTCTTCTGAGAAAAAGAGACAGATAGACACCAGGGTCTTTTTTGGAGATTTTTTTTTTCTATAGGGCATGTGCGCTCCACAGAGAGAGACAGAGAGACAGAAAGCAAGAAATCAGCCCCCAGGGGGATGGCCATGCTGCAATCCCTTCTCCTCCATTCTCCTCTCAGGATCTTGGGCATGCACACACATGTACCTGGTGTTTTGTTAAGTTTAAGTCACTGGGTCTGGGACTCGAACGGTGCTTGACTACATGGGAGTCCAGCAGCATAGCCATTATACCAACTGCTAGTCCTGACACCAGGGTCTTTATGCCCCAGTCAAACCACAATCCCAGCCAGCCTGGATCATGGGCACTTGTGTGCATGCACTGTGCTCAGGAAGGGCCCCAGGACACAACCCAGTTTTAGGGGTCCAGCTGCATTATCACTGCGCTGGTGTCTGCCCTGGAGGTGGGGGGTGGAGAAACAAAATAAAACTATTTTTAAATGAAAGAATAAACTAAAACTATGAATAGTTATGTTAAAAGTTTACTCTTACGGGGCTGGCCCGTCGGTGCTGTGGTTCAGTGCAGTGCGTAGGGAGCCATAGCCCACGTGGTCAAGCATGGTTTAAATTCTGGCCCCAGCTGCTTGCAGATCACACTGGACATGCATGTGCACATGCCCACAGCCCTGGCGGGGTACGGAGGTGGAGGGGTGTGGTGTGGTAGGCCCACTGAGGAGGGCACTTTCTATCTCTGTTCTGTCTCTGATGAGTGGACACACCTCTGGCGATAAACTTTATTCTTTAAATTTATTCTTATAAACAGAGATGCTTCTTCCCACCTCTTACTTTATATCAAGGGAGTTTTCTTACATTTTGCTGCATTTTATAAATCTTCTAAAATAGCACATAGCACTTTTTTATGGATAAAACATATTTTTGATACATTTAAATTATTCATTTAGGTGAGCTTTATTTTATTATAAGAAGAATACCCTCTTAACACATTGTTAAAGGAATTGTTTCATTTATTTATTTATTTATTTTAATTTGACCAGAGAGAGGGAAAGTGATAAAGCAAATTGCCAGGTCCAGGACTCGAACCACAGTCAGCCACATAGGAGTCCAGCTCCTTAACCATCATTTAACCTGCTGGCCCCTCTTTACACATTTTTGAGTGTACAGTGGTATATTGTTTATTCGCCCATTGATAGACTCTCGGGTTGTTTCCTCACCCTGGTCATTAGAGATAATAGTATAGCAGTAAATATGTGGGTGCAGATATTTCTTCAAGATCCTCGTATCCGTTTTCTTATTAATCAGTAGAACACTTATTTCAAGTAGAACAAAGCAGAATAATTTTTAAAGCTACAATGGCTTTTTCACAAGGAGCAACTTTGATCCAGAAGTGGGGTTCTTAGATCAGTTTTAGGTTTTGAGAAACATTCTGTTTTCCATTATTAGATCAGTCCTAGTTTTAGGTTTTGAGAAACATTCTGTTTTCCACAGTGGACCCCCATTCTGCATTCCTACCAGCAGAGGACAGTTTTCACCAGCGCTTGTCACCTCTCCTGCTTTGGGTATCGGCCAGCTGAGAGGTGTGAGGTGGTAGCTCCCTTTGGCTCTGGAGGACACTATGCTAAGCGAGTTGAGCCAGCTTCAGAGGGAGGGAATGGCGTCCACAGAAGAGGTGTCTAGAGCGGCTGACTTCACAGAAGTCCGGGCCACTGGTGCCTTCCAGGAGCTGAGGGGAGCAGGGCCTGGGAATGCATTATGTAATGGCTGTGCAGATCCTGAGCTCCGCTGCAGGACCGCAGGGCCTGTCCTTAATGCAGTGGAGCACTTTGAAAACGCAGGACAGCGAAAGAGCTCCTGTTAAGTGCTCTTGTCACAAAACAAAAAGCAAAACAGTCCTACCACGTGAAAGACCGCGGGAAAATCCTCAGAGGTGCTGGGTGTGTTTAGCACCTTCATCAGCAGCACACATGTGTACATATGCCCACACTCATCGGGCCGTACACATTACCTTGTGCAATTTGTGGCACACAGTTGCACTTCAATGCAGTTCGAAAATTCAGGAGTGTTTTCCTGTCATTCCGGAGTTGCCCGTTTGTCTTCCTAATGCTTTCCTGAAGCGCTCCCAGGCCCTGCCGCCTCCTTAGCACAGTGCCTGGTGCAACGTGTGCCCAGAGGGACCTTCCAGCCCTGTGCACCCAGCACACGCGGCTCCCGTCAGCCACTCCCGTGCTCGGCTCCCTCCTCATACCCTCGCCTAGAGCCGCTCTGTGACACAGTCCCCTTTGGTTAGATCCTGAGGGTTTTATAGGAGAGAGCACTATAAAAATAACTGTGTCCAATTATTTTTATTATCATTATCCATTTTATTACTACTATCCCTACCACACTTCTAATGCAGCACTTTCGTGAAAGCTGGCGTGTGACCAGTATCGTTCATGGTGACTCCAATGCACTGTCCTAGGGACACACAGTTATCTTACCTAGTGACCAAGGGGCTGCTGTGACCAACTCCTGTCTGTTGTTGCTGTTTGCTTGTTTTGTTTTAGTGAGATTTTTGCTATAGGGCATGTGTACTTGCTGGAGAGACAGAGAGACAGAAAGGATGCAATCACCCCCGAGAGGGGACGGTCAGCTGCAATCCCTTCTCCTCCACTCTCCTGTCAGGAGGTTGGGCACGCACACACACACCCAGTGTGACTTTTAGGCCGCTGGGTCTGGGACTTGAACCGCAGTGGGCCAGTGGGAGTCCAGCCGTCTGCTGGTCCCATGTTGCTGTTTTTCAGTCTTGCCTTTTTCCTACATTTCTGACTCATGTACACTATAATGTGTTTCAGATTTATTATGGAAATCGTTTCACGAGCTCACTGGATATACTGTTTCTGGCAAGCCATTTTCTTATTAAACCGTAGAAGGTGGGCTTCAGGTAGACCAGAGCAGAACACTTTGAAAGTCAGGATGACTTCTTTACAAGGAATAACTTTTAATAAGGGTTGGACACATAACTGAGAACTTGAGACACAGACATCACGTCAGTTCATTCAAGTCTAAACACAAATGCCTTTATTAGTACATCACAGGCAGAGGGTCATCGATGGGGGAGACTTCCATCCACTTCTCTTTTCCAAACTAGTTGTTTGCTTCTGCTTTTTGAGAATTTCAGATGAGCTCTAAGAAACTCAGTCCAAGACTTGATTTCCGTTTCTTTCTGACAGTAGTGAGCCATTTGTGTCAGGGTTAAGACTGAAGTTTGGTCAAATGGAGTATCCTTGTCTTCATTTAGTTCTTGTCATGAATTTATAATTGAGCGAGTCATTTTTCCACGTGGGGACCGCATAATATGTAACATGTAACTTTCCACTGCACTTTCACTGTTGAAAGTGAAACGAACGGTTTGTTAGAAAAGACATGCTTTGGGGAACCAGCAGTTAGTGTAATGGCTATGTCGCTGGACTCCCACGTAGTCGACTGCGGTTCGCGTCTGGGACCTGGTGGTTTAAAAAAAAAACTCATGCCGGGCGCATGTGCGTGTGTGTCCAAGATTCCGAGAGGAGAATAGAGGAGAAGGGATTGTGGCGTGACCATCCCCCCTGGGGGGGTGATTTTTCACTTTCTGCCTCTCTGTCTCTCTCTGTCTGTCTGGCGAGCGCATGCGCCCTATAGCGAAAACCTCTCCAAAAAAAAAAGAAAAACCATGCTTTGAGATCTCAGCAATAGGCCAGATACATCAGTCGGTCACTCAGCCTCCCTATTTCAGAAGGAATACTGCTGCTGTGAGAGGAATTATGGAGAGCAGATGTGGCAGACGGGGCGTGCTCTCACGTCATTTGCGTTTCATTTCTGATCCAGTTGGACTTTTTTCTTTTTAAGATCACACAGAGCACCAGTCACCATGCCTTATACAGAAGGCAGATGCCTCAAGAATATTCGCTGATTTAAAAAAAATTCTTTGCACTCATTTTGTTTTAGCAATTCTTTTGCTTTTTGTAAAAACAGGCAGCGAGACGATCTGTACCTGGACCAAGCTGCTACCGATGAGACCCTCGGGACACAGACAGAGGTCACCCAGGATTTCAGCGATTTTGCTGTGGAAATTTGAGAAACCATGGCAGCTCTCGGACAACAGGTGGGTTTTCTTCCTTTTTGCATAGATTGGACTAATGAAACTTCAAAAATCTGCCCAATAACTTTCCAAAGTCATAGCTCAATTTTTCTTTATTTCTGTATTTATTGTAATTTATGCTCACTGGAAAGAAACAAAGGGAGAGAGAGAGAGGAAAAATGAGAAGGCACCCCCGAGGGAAGATGGCTGATCCGCGATCTCTTCCCTCCATTCCCCTCTTGGAATTCTGGGCATCTATGCACGCATGCCCAGTATATTTTAAGAAGCTGAATCTGGGCTCTACCCTCACAGTTGGCTATCTGGAGTCCAGCCGCCTTAACCACAATGCCACCTGCTGACCCCACAACTGTTTTTTGTTTAAGAATTTTGCCGCAGGCCGCCTGTGCTAGTCAGAGAGAGAAACTAAGAAACAGTGAGAGGGAAGTGAAGAGTCGCCACCCCCGCCCCGGATGGCCATGCTGCAATCCCATCTCCTTCCCTGGGCTTGCACACGTGCCCGGCATGATTTTCTTCCTTTTTCCCTTTTTTTAGAGAGAGATTTTTTTTGCTATAAAGCACTTGCCAGGAGACAGAGAGACAGAAAACAAGAAATCCCCCAACCTGTTGACTACGTGGGAGTTCAGTGATGTAACCATTACTGCATCTACTCGTCCCATCCCAGCATGATTTTCGAGCTGCCAGATCCGAGACTCAAACCCTGATCGGTCATGCGGGAGCCTAGTGCCTTAACCACCATGCCACCTGCTGGCCCCACAACTTCTTTTATTACCCCATTTTTAGGGATTATTATGGTCATTATTATTTTTTAACAAGCATTGGGCTGTGAGGAAGGCTTGGGGAAACTCATGTCAGGAACATGCAGACAGCCTCTTCTTCGGACGCAATGCCAGTATGTCGAGCAGGAGCGGGCTGGTGGCCGGCGCTCTGCTCGGTGCCATGGAGCGCTCCACCTGTGCGTTTCTGAGGGTTTGGAGCTGAGTACGCATCACGTCTCTGTACACATAAATAATGGTCACTTTTAGCAAGCATAACGTGTCCTGTTAATTCGTCCTGTACTGGAGTCAGAGATGCTTCTTAGAGGCGGTCGTTTCTCTCTAGCTTTCATTTTCTGAATACATTACTGTTAAAAATTGTGAGGGAACCAGCAGTTAGCGTAATGGCTATGTCGCTGGACTCCCACGTAGTCAACTGTGGTTCGCGTCCCGGACCCAGTGGCTTAATGCTCACGCCGGGCGCGTGTGCATGCGTGCCCAAGATCCCGAGAGGAGAATGGAGGAAAAGGGATTGCAGCGTGGCCATCCCCGCTGGGGGATGATTTCTCGCTTTCTGTCTCTCTGTCTCTCTCTGTCTGTTTAGCGAGTGCATGCACCATATAGCAAAAACCTCTCCAAAAAAAATTAAACCAAACCAAACCAAACAAACCAAAATTGTGAACTGACTCCATAGCATGGGGGAAGCTCTGTGCACAGGGAGCGGGAGCCCACATGGAGGACAGCAGACTACATCCCAGCCCCAGGGACTTGAAAAACAAGCTGGCCATGTGCACGCATGCCCCGGATCCTGATGGGATGGGGAGACGGAGGAAAAAGGGTTATGGTGTGATTACGTACCATTGGGAAGTATATGCTCTCTCTCTCTCACTCTCTCTCTCTCTTTCGTTAAAGAATAAGACTGCTATTTCTCAATTTTCTAAGAGTTCAAAAATATTCCTGGTACCAGCAGTTGGTGTAATGGCTATGTTGCTGGACTCCTATGTAGTCAACCGCAGTTCAAGTCCTAGACTGGATGGCTTAAACTCATGCCGGGTGCGTGTGGGTGCATGCCCAAGATCCCGAGAGGAGAATGGAGGAGAAGGGATTGCGGCATGACCATCCCCCCTGGGGGGTGATTTCTTGCTTTCTGTCTCTCTGTCTCTCTGTCTGGCGAGTGCACGCGCCCTGTAGCAAAAACCTCTCAAAAAAAAAAAAATCTGAAATTTAGGAATGAATCCTTGAGAGAGATTTGGCTTATGTTAGAAATGATGATATAGACATTTTTGTTGGGAAATGGAAATCGGATCTCTTTTATGGCAAGGTGGCAGGCTGTCTGCGAGGTATGCGCTGCTCTGAAGTGCCCTCTTCACGTGTCCTCAGAGGCCCGGAAAGCCGCAGCGTGGTGGAGTGTGGACGCGCGGAGCCTGCTGTCAAGAGCTGGCTCTCTCGCTGTCCGACCTGAGTAACTGCTAATCATGCAGAGCAAGTGCCCTCACCCACGACCCACGGCTCTGTGACGGTCGGATGAGACCGCAGAGCAGAAGCAGCCCGTGAGCTGCACGCCCTTAACGCTGCTGCTGCGCTGCTGTGAGTCCTGGCAGAGCGCGAGTGGCCGCTGTGCCGGCCGCCCAGAGCAGGGCCGACCGAGGCTACGGCCCCCGTGCGTGCCTGCACACGCAGCACTGCGCTCGCTGGTCCCCCCAGTTCTGAGCCTAGACGGGAAAGATGTGAAGTGTCATTTCTAAGACGGTTATCTTTAACATGTCCTGGGCGGGGTGGGGCGGTTAAGACTCTGGACACCACTGAGTCGGGACAGCTTATTATTTTGCAGTGAATTACATCTGGGTGAGGCAAATTCTTTTTTCTATAGGACATGTGCGCTCCCCAGAAAGAGAGACAGAAAGCGAGAAATCACCACCCAGGGGATATGGCCACACCACAATCCCTTCTCCGCCATTCTCCTCTAGGGATCTGGGGCATGTACGTACACATGCCCGGCATGAGTCAAAGCCACCAGGTCTGGGACTCGAACCGCAGTCGACTACATGGGAGTCCAGCGACATAGCCATTACGCTAACTGCTGGTCCCTCATTGTAAATTTCTTCATAGCTGAGACTACTCTGGAGTTTTCTCAGTTCTGGATGCATAGTTGATGTTTAAAAATAACCAGTTTTGGACCAGTGGATGGCGTAGTGGTTAAGGTGCTGGACTCCCATATGTCTGACTGCTGTTTGAGTCTCAGACCTGGAAGCTTGAAACTCATGCTGGGTACATGTGCTTGTGTGCCTAGAATCCACAGAGAGGGTTGAAGGAGAAGAGACTGGTATATGGCCACTCCCCCGGGGATGATTTCTCACTTTCTGTCTCTCCATGTCTCTAGCAAACACATGTGCCCTACAGTGGGAATCTTACTTTCAAATAATAATAATATAATAATAATCAGTTTCAGGGCCAGCAGATTCTGTGGTGGTTGAGGTGCCAACTCCCACATGGCTGACTATAGTTTAAGTCTTGGACTTGGTGGCTTGCTTCCTCATCCCCACCACCCCATGAGCACAAATGCTCTATAGCATATTTTTTAAAAAGCAAACAAGAAACAAAACACACCTACTGAAAAAAAAATAAATAAAAACTATTCTTTACAAAAATAAAAATCGGTTCTTTTTGTTGGAACATGGAGAGTTTGCTCTAGATGCGTCAGGAATCTAAAGGGAGTCACAGGCTGGGCAAGACTAGGAGAAGGGGTGAGGAGGTCCTGTGACCTCTTGCAGAGGTCAGGAACTACCCTGGGGTCTGGCCAGGCCACACAGATGGGGAGGCTGCAGAGTGTGTAGTGCCTGGTGCCTTGGATGACAGGGAGCAACTGCTCGACAGGTATGACCTTTGACATAAGCAGGTGTCACAGTGGTTAAGGCTTTGGATTCCCATGTGGCTGACTGCAGTTTGAGTCCCAGATCTGGCAGCTTGAAAATCACACTGGGTGTGTGTGCATGCATGTCCAGAATCCCAGGAGGAGAACAGAAGAGAAGGGGTTGCAGCTTGGCCATCCCCCTAGGGAGTGATTTCTCATTTTTTCTCTCACTGTCTCTGTCTCTCTCTGGTACGAGTGGACACTCCCTATGGCGAAATATTAATTTAAATTTCAATGAAAGAACCTGATGGCAGCAGGAGGAGCACTGACTGAGGTAGACGTCAGCCTCAGTTGTCAAAGGGAAAGTGTAAAAATTAAGAGCCAAGAGCGAGAGAGACCAGCTGAGAGCCTCCTGGAGACTCTCAGGTGCCACGGAGCAGACCAGCGATCCCCGAGAGCAGGGCAGGGACACAGACGGGCGGCTTAGGGCAGAGGGTCTTTTCAAACTGGACAGCCCGCAGGGTCTGCAGACTTCGCATGTGCTGCTGATTCGTCATGTACTAAGACGTACTTTCAGCCGCCTCTGGTGGCAGGTAGGCGGTGGGCCTTGAGCCTGGGCCCGCAGTGGGAAAGGCATGTCTGACTGAGCAGGTGCAATGTGTGGTTTTCTGTGACTCGTCAGTGTGGACACAGGGAGTCCTGTGGAGAACTCTTTTTTTCTTTTAAATGAAAAGTGAGCATAAAAAGAGGCCAGGTGGTATCCTAGGAGTCGCATAGCTGAACCCACATGGAAGGGACCCTGGTTCTCATCCTAGAGTTTTCCCATACGTGCTGGGTGTGCCTGATTGCTGTGGTCAGGGCTGGCTGGGGCTGGGAGCAGATTGCAGTGTGGGGACCCGCTTGAAGGTCTCTCTCTCTCTGTCTCCCATCTTTCTCTCTCTCCATCACTGGAGAATTAAATAAATAAGCCTTTTAAACAAATAGCACAAAGATCATGGCAATGTATGTTTCTAAGAATAGAATTTAAGACAGTGAGGAAATAGGTTGACCAGGATAGAGAATATTTGAGAGAAACCGTATCATATAGTACTCATTCCTTTGGAGCTTATTGGTGTTTTTGAGACCCATCTCTCGTAGATGTCAAGGGATTTCAACACTCAGCCAAGGATTTCCAAGTTTTACTTCCTAATCCTAAGTGACATTACATTTATGGGGCTACCAAGTAGTGTTAGTCTTAGCATTTCACATTGTTTAAGGTACACTTTTGTCAAGTAATTTTTGAATGCCTAGGAATGATGATGGTTGACGTTGGTCCTTAACCTTTATAGGAGCAAGCTAACAGAAGAGGTCTAAATGTTTCCATGTTAGCTCTTTTATAGTTAGTAGAGTCTAGTATGTCT